ACTCTTTCAGATGTGGACGAATGCGTGACACAACCCTGTCGCAATAACGGTACCTGTGTGGACGCCGTGGCGGACTTCACATGCATCTGCCGGGGCGGTTGGAAGGGCAAAACGTGCGCGCTGCGCGGTGGTCACTGCGAGCCAGGCACTTGCCGGAACGGTGGTACCTGCCAGGATCGCGGCGACGGCTTCACGTGTCACTGCCCGCACGGTTGGGAGGGCGCGGCTTGCCATATCGCATCGCCGTCGGCGTGTACGAGCGATCCCTGCGCGAACGGCGCTACCTGCGTGAACACGGTCGACGGCAATTATCGCTGCGTCTGTCGCGAGGGTTTCGAGGGGCCAAACTGTCGGCGCAACGTGGACGATTGTCAGCCGGTGCCCTGTCTAAATGGCGGTAAATGCGTAGACGGTGTCAATTGGTTCAGATGTGAATGCGCGCCCGGTTTCACCGGCCCGGATTGCCGTATCAATGTCAATGAGTGCGCAAGCGATCCGTGCACCGGCGGGGCAACTTGCGTGGATGGTATCGCAATCTACTCGTGCATCTGTCCGCCCGGTAGAACCGGCACACGATGCGAAATCCGTACGGCTGGTGGACCCGGCTGCACGGCCGCCACGTGGGAGGACGATTGCAACGTGTGCGAATGTCGGAACGGCAAGAATCAGTGCAGCAACGTCTGGTGCGGGCCGGGTAATTGCCTGAACGGTACCTCTTGTCTGGCCCATGAAGTCTGCGTTCCTAGTCCGGGCGAGAGCTGCTTAGCGCCGCCATGTCCGGCGTGGGGCGAATGCCGTCCGGTTGAAACCGGGAGGCGAGTTGGTCCGCCGGCGTTACCGGCTCCACCATCCTGCTGGCCCGGACAGTCCATGCTCGGGCCAACTTGCTCGCGACTCACGATACTGCTGCGAAGGGATACCCTGGCGCCCGGAACATCGGTGGAACTGCTGTGCCGTCGTTTGAGAAAACTTCTGACCGATCCACGAAGACCTCAGTTAGTGGTACTGTTATGCGATCTGAAACCCGGCGATAACGATACGGTGGAAGTGACCCTCTTCTCCGAGGCAGCGGCCGATGCAGCACGGGATCTCGGCGAGGCGCTGAGTCGCCCGCTGGCGAGACCTCTCGTTTTAGCTTCAGTGCTAGAAGTCAAAGTGGAGACGGCGTTGCTCAGCGAGCCTAGTTCGGCTGGTGCAGCCAACACTGGCGGCTACGTGGCCGTTCTAGGCGGCGCTCTAACAACCGTGCTGCTATTAGCGCTGTTCGGCGGTCTCTGGTATCTCAGAACCATAAGACATAGATCGAACTTGACGGCAACTACTAGCAGTGAGACCTCGCTACATCGCCATCGTAGCGATCTGGACGAGAAGTCTAACAATCTTCAGAACGAGGAGAACCTAAGAAGATATGCGAATCCGCTCAAAGACCAGGATCCTGAGCCCAGAGTATCTGTCGTGAGACCTCTATCGGGCGCCTCGCTTGGCACCTTGACCGGCGCCGAGGAAAGTCTCGAAATGGTATCCGAGGAAAGTAGACATCGCTTGCCACCGCTGTATAAACCACCTAGCGCGGAAGCCAGGAACAATACGGCCAGTTTTAGCTACGAAGAGGGACCGCATAAGCCTTACAGCAAGCCCAGATTACAGGAACCACCATACCCTCATCAGCAGCCGGGTACTAGCCAGACATCGGGCCCGCATCAAATCCTAACGGTACACGTGTGATTAAATATCGTGGAAACAAACAATTGAAGAACAAGTGTCGGTGAGTTTTTTTTTCTTGAAACAACATCGATAAACGCGAAGAAAGATTCTCGGAGAGAATCGTCGGTAGCGAAGATAGATCTTAGAATGACGCCTAAAGACTATATAAGAGTTTGGACAATTTGATTCTTTGTGATAATGGGAAATGCGACTCTTTCGACTTCGGAATAACTTGAGACAACTCTGAGGTTTTTCTTTGTTAAAGTTGAGCCAACGTTTAGAACATATTAGAGACAAATGCAGGAAAAAGAGAAAGAAGCTGCGTAATTCTTATCGGATTTTATTATAAAATGTACATTAAGAGATAATGCATAAATTATTAATGGTATTTTTAACTGGTATCTTTTTACAGTCAATTCACATTCATAAAACATCATTGAAACATTGATATGCTTAATATGTTTAATTTTTAGATAATTTTATAAATATATGACAAAAAAATTGCGTAATCCTTAAATGATATCCTTGGATCGAAAATTTGGAAAATGTTTGGAAGTTATTTCTCTCTTTTTCCTCGTTTGCCCTTCTCACGCTTTTGCGTGACGGTAATAAGCGATCGACAATTATAAATAATTTTAATGGTAAAGATCAATTGTTATTGTTGTACATATGTACATAACTCGTACTTATTAATTTCGCTAAGTCTGTATCTCTCCTTTCCTTTTTTCGTCGGCGTTGCCATCTTTATACGCGCCTTGATTTTATACGTTTTATATGCTCGACTTTGTACTCTTTTGATATTATTGTATACCGCCTCCCATTGCATTTTTTATTTCAATCATTTAAGAAAAATACATTTGGGTGGCATTATCGCACTTTGCACGAGATATACGTTTATCATGCATAATCGTCAAAGTAAACCTACGCTCTATTCAAGAGAAACGCATAAATGATTAAATAATGTGTAAATAAGTTTAGCAGCAGAATTTCTTTAGATATATTCAGAAGTATTATGATTAATGTTGCGCAGACATTACTCGAGATCGTTGTATGCGAAAGTTTGCTTTGTATGATGTAACGTGGGCTCTTCAAACGTTCCTTCAGACGATATTATTGTGATACTCATAGAAGAAACAATGTCAATGTGTAGGATTACTATGGTACTCCGCGTGTTCGTCTATTTTAACAGAGATACTGCCACTACGCGAAAAGGATGTGCAATACAATGTACACTAAATCGCGGACACATTGTGTTGTAAAGATCATATTAATGGTGTGAATAATGCGATTTTTTTTTTAGAGAGAAAGAGTATTCGAACGCAGTGAAGATGAATGTGTACATAGTGACGCTATATTGCATCGTAGAACGATGTAAGTAAATAAATCTAAGTATATATGTTCAGATTGTTCTCATCTCCCCAGTCATCGTCGACCCCATCTTTAGATGTGCAATTTGTTTTCTTTCTTTTTTTATACCATAACATTACCCTCCCCCCCCCCCCCCCCGACACCCCCCCA